CAGGTTGTACTTCGGTCGTGTTGGGCCTTGAATAATCACAAATAATTTGAATTGGCCTAGTGGTTGTGTCTCTCCACATTTGAACATTAACCAGGGTTCGATGCACACTGGATTTAAATAAACTTAATCAAAACGATGTTTGAGGGACTGGTTGGGGCCTTGCCGTGATTGATGAATACTGGCAAAAGCTTCTCCTTAACTTGGATTCTTTGTAAAATTAAACCTTAATTTTTTTGAATTTACGATGGATTTTCAATTGTTTCAATCGTATGGAATATTGGTTATGTGATTAATGGTATCTACTGTTTACAAATAGATCATTATGTATTGCTCAATAGTAATACAAACAAATGACAGGCTATCCTCTTAAAAATATGTATCATGTTATTTATGTGAATAATCCAGTCCAGTTGTATATGTTCTCACCTTAAGCAACATACTCACGGTTAGAGAAATCTTCCATGAAAAATAGCGGCATCTGAAGAATTTTCTCGTCTAATTTGCATGTGCGGTTTGCTTCCTGTGACTGTGAGGCTCGTATTTTTCATCTTCTAGCTCTTATGATCACGATGAACATGATGATAATGCACATAATTTCTGAAAGGTGCAGATCCGCTCTTCCGTTTCGAATAAAACTTGCTTGTTTCTTGACAATGTGCGTCTATAACAATGACAATCTCTACTTTAGTTAGTGGATTAGCCTAATCTTTGACTTTATTCCATTTGCGTTGTCGAGATCATTGTTTGATTGTTTGATTCTATCTAAACAGTGGTCATGAACATTGTTAAACCTTTTGTTCCATTTACGTTGTCGAGATCATTTACAAATATATGAAAGTATGTTTCGACAACAACACATAAAAATACTGTAATCCCAAACTTTTTTTCTATATAAAATGTGGTACTATCACAAAATGAAAAACAAATGTGGTATATATTTTGAGCCACCTACATCTTCAAGGCGATACTTATTATAATCGGTTAATTTGTTTTGGCTTTTTCCTGATTAGAAATTAACCTAGTGATTAGGTACTACGATAGCTATCTAAAGTGTGTACCAAACTAGTTACCAAACTAGTTACCAAACTTGACTCATGGTCCAACTTTTCTCTTCCCTTATGCGAAAAGAATAAGCTCATAAATAAGAAAGGTACTTACATCGAAATTGTCTTAATCATTTTGAGATACCACATTGTATTTACTCGCTCATCGCCAAACCAATTGTCGCATACATTAACTTCTTTTTGAAGAAATGTAGACATTGTTTTCGCTAATCCCCACAAAAGTAAATAAACTAGGAAGATAAAAAAAGCTTTAAAACTTTCTAAATTAGAAGGAAATATGCTGCATTTTAAAAAATCTTGCTTACTTTTTTATTTTTACTACATATAATTTAGAAAAAAACACAAGTTATCCCAAAATATTAGGAATAAAAATTTGCATGTGGTGGCAGTTAGATTAATAGAGTATGTTCACTCGATGCTAGGATTAGTCGGCTGTAACCTGTATATATGATTAAAAAAATAATAATAATAAGTGCACTATGCTTTAGGTTCATTAAAAAATCCGCTACACTCACCCGGATCATCTCCAGTTATCAAAAACAAAAAAAGGTTAGGTGGACTTGGTTTTAAAAATTCTCCCTATAAAATGGCATCAAGTATGAATATTGGAACCAACCTTCTCCTACCATCTCTACCTCTGCGGAGTATCTTCAATAACCAACAACAATAATGTCAAACCATCTCCAAGAGCCATTCACCACTACCCATAAACCGAATCTAACCAAAGAAAAACAACAAGCTGACAAAGATATTATGGTGAGCTTGCAAGCAGAAAAGATCGTAAACTCCTTGGCCCTCCCCATGGTTTTTAAAGCTGCCTTGGAACTCGGCGTTATCGACACTATCACTGCTGTAGGTGATGGCGTGTGGCTCTCCCCTTCGGAGATAGCACTTAATCTCCCCATCAAGCCCAACAACCCGGAGGGACCGGTTATGCTAGACCGGATGTTGCGCTTCCTCTCTACTCACTCCATCTTGAAATGCCGCTTTGTTGAAACAGGAGAGACCGGTACGGTATATGCTGCTGAACCGGTTTGCAAGTTTTTCTTGAAAGATAATGATGGGTCCACTACAAGAAAACAACCACTTTTCCGACGGAAATTCCGACGGCCGAGATTTCCGTCGGTTTACCGACGCAATTACGACCAAAATTAATCCGTCGGAAATCCGTCGGAATGTACCGACGGATTTCCGACGAAAATAAACTGTCGTAATATTCTGACTACTTTCCGACGGAATCCCGACGGAAATCCGATTTTT